CAAATAACTGGAAGACAAGCCATATGTCAAACTTGATTTTGACAAACTTGGAAAACGTCAACACAGACATAGAGATCGTGGCATTTCAACCGACTTCATCAGCCACCATACACGTGACTGTGCAGTATGCCAATATTTGCAGTGACAAGCTGCACCAGGAGGGACGCATTTTGTATCTTACTCAACCCTAAATGATAAATCTGTCCATGGAGCTAAAATATTTTAGCTCCATGATCTGTCCTATTATAATATGTGTTCATTGTAGTCCACTTTTCCTCAAGGAACATGAGTGGCAATTTAGTCAATGACGAAAAAATTAAATAATAAATGTGAATAACATATACATATCAGCAAAGCACGCTGACCAGCAAGTTACCCTGCAAACGTCACAAGGGGTATTTGTGTAAGCAAATGAGAATTTAATAAGGAGCCTCATTTTAAAATACATAAAAATAAAATTGGCGTAGATTGCGTTTGAAACCCATTGTTTCAATTTATTGTATGCTTAACATAAAAAAATAATATTGATGTACCAATAAATTATTTTACACAAGAAAATAGCAGGCATTTCAGAACAAGCAAATACATTGACAATGTTAATGAGGAACATACCATTATCATGAGGGGGTGGTTCATCTTGAGTATAGTAGAGTTCTTTGAATATGGCTGAGCACTTGGTTTCAATGAACCGTCATCTTCAAAACCACTGTCAGACTTTGACGACATCGCATCAGATACTGAATTAAAATCAAATTATAAGCTATAATTGTGCATTTTTTCATATTTGTTTTTTCCATAATATCAAAAATTTAATTAAACATTCAACAAATATGGGAAAAAATATCCAAGTTTCAACGTATTTGACACTTACTAGCGTCTTCTTTCTTCCAATTGCTGAACATATCGTCCAAAAATTCATAATCAAATGCTATACTATATTCTGCATTCTCTATAGCTTTATCGTTTGTTTCGTACAGCGATTCAACACCTTCTCAGCAACATCTGAAAACATCATCAAATAGGTTTCACAAAAATTTTGCTTAATTTTATTATGAACATTATTTGCTTGTGAGTTGTAATGTTGTCCACATTATTAAACATTGACCCATTTCTTTACAAATTTTGATAAGATTTGTTGATTAGAGACGATGCCTAACTGGTCAATAGAACAGTCGACAAATCCTTAAAAATGTGTAAAATGTTGGTTGGAAAAAATATGGCATTCAAAGCACTTGTCTTATAGTGAAACTTGTCCAATAGTGAAACTAAATAAACTGATACTAAATACTAAGTTCAAAACTTTGATAGCTTCTTAAATGATAGGAATGACTCACCTGGCATTTTGCGAATCAATTTCCTCATCGGTGTCAGATAGTATCCATTATTGGGATCACTGACTGCATTCTCCATGGCTCTGCGCCAATTGGCATGATTGATAATTGCCATGGCAACATCTTTCTTATTGTTATCTATAGCCAAATCTAGACAATTACTGCCAGTGTCATCACATAATGAAAGATCAGCGTGCCAATCTAATAACAATCCAACAACATCCACATGTCCATTCTTACTGGCTAAATGCAGAGGGGTTGTCTACAAAGGTAAGTGCAAGATACTAGTTAGAGTTTTTATTTCAAGAGACACAGTAAAGGAAATATCGCCATAGTGATGACTTATATCCCCAAGGTTAGTGTTCTTTAATTTGTACAACTTTTTTTCTCGCATCATGGGAACAAATCAGTTGTAATTGACATAAATTGAAATAATGATTGTTGTACCTTAGCTTTGTCTGTTGGATCCACAGGAGAATCAGCTTCTAATAACGCTTGTACTGATTTCATCCAGCCTTTAGCAGCAGCACAATCCAATGGTGTCCACAAGTTACAATTTCTATCAACACAAAGTGTGTGATAAGATTAACATGCCCATGTTTATGGATACTAAAAATAGTTTGATACATACAAGGAAGGTGTATAATATTGTCAGGTAGAGAAATATCATCTACCAGACCCACCATTAATAATAACACACAAGCCATGCAGTCCTAATAAATTATCAAATTTAAGATAAATAGTTTTTTTTATAGTAATATAGTTGGAACAAAAACATGTCAGAGATATGGATCCAGAAGTTGATGCTGGATTATGATATTTTAACATTAAAATGGTTGACACTCAGTCATCTTGTATCTGATCATCAAACGAGTACTATTGCTCTAGAACAGCATTAATTAAAACAAAATGGCCAACAGTCGACCATTTTAAATACATCTGTATATCTATCACATGATGTATAATGAATACATATAAAATTTGAACATAAACAGTCAAACATTCAGAGATATGGCTCTAGAACTGCAACCATTAAAACAAAATGGCCGCCAGTCAGCCATTTTAAATCCAATCCGAAAAACAAAACAACATGCATTAAGGTTCTACAATCTCCAATGTATGTACTAAGTTTGAACAAAATCCATCTGTAAACAGCCCAGATCTGGTTCTGGAATGCCAGAAATGCTTGATTTTGCTGATTTTTCAGCACAAAATGGCCACCATTCAGCTATCTTGAATCAGATTGAGAAACAAATTGATGTGCATATGTATAATATTATGTATGATGTATATGTGAAGTTTGAATGTTATTGGTCCAGGCATGTCTAAAATACAGGTACAGAGGTCAATCCATAAGTCCCTGTTTTTTACTGTGTCCTGACGGGACTAACAATGACATCTACCGGTGAGACATGTGGCAGCCACAACTGTCTTTGTCTGAATGGGAACAATCCATAAGCTATCAAACTTTAACAAAATTCTAAGACCTTTGAAAGTTAGGAGATTATGTTCAAATGTTTTACCTTGCTTGAATATCAGCCCCGCTGTCAATAAGTGCCTGTAGAGCTCTCACATGGCCTTCCAGTGAAGCAAGATGCAGTGGACTGTTGGACAACTCATCCTCATCATTAATGATAGTTTTGTTGCGGCGAACTAACTCACGTACTATCCTGAAAAGTTGAAAACTCGGTGAACATCAAAATAGTGAGATTAAATTAAAATAGTAAATAATAAAGTAAATTCTAATATTATTATAATGCTATTATTATTTTCATTCATTCATATTATATTTGTTGTGATTTCATTTTCCTGGTTGAATAATTTAAAAGTAAATTTCAAATTAAAAAGTTACAAACCATGACAGAAAGTTATTATATTTCATATTATGACAATAAGAAAATACACAAATTACCTTCAAGAATAATCTGAAACATTATTAGTTCTAGATTACCTGCCTTACCTTACAAGACTCTAGTTTGGAAAATAGCATGTACCCAAGGTGGCTATATGACTTCACTGTGTAAAATTATTCCAAGGGGCATTTTACTACGTTCAGTCATAACTTACCACTATCCAATATGAGAGCAGATTCAACTCAAGGGGCAGATTACAAAGCATAGCCCAGTGGTGAGTGATCTGCAGAGTGGCAGGCCATCAGTGACACAAGAAAATCTTCAAAGCAGGAAATGAATTAACATAACTCACTCTTGGACATGAAAAAGGTTAACATATTTGTATTGAGTAGCGTCTCACAGGAAACCATTTATGGGATGCGGAGGAATGTTTTAATTTTATCAGCAATCAATAATTCCTTATTCATTGTTGCCTCAGGGTAGAGCTTTAATT